GACCCTGTACAGGGTTTCCGAGGGTGTAAATCTTTACGGGAGTAGAAAGCCTCATCTTTCTCCCGCGGAGCGGCTGGTAGTTTCGAACCGCTGCCCTTAAGGTTCGCAGCCCGATTCGTAGCCACTACGCTACCAGTTTCTGTACGTTGATGATATGCAGCCCATATAAAAAAGCATTTGTTTGTAAAATCAAAATTATATTTTTAAAAATATATAACTTTTTTGTGCTGTATATAGCAAGAAACATTTCAAAACCGAAAGTAACGAATAGCTTCTTGTTAGTATAAATACTATTGCCATTTATCACGATTAAACCCAGTTTTTGCACCCAGCTAGTCACTGAGAGTTCTGTGACATAGTGCCAAAACTGTACGCTTGCTTCCTGGGTCCCCCAGAGCATTCTAGTTGGGACGTTAGACTGTCCCTATGGAAACACCCTGAGAACTCACTAATCCCACCATAGCGTGGGTGTATGAATGGAGTCTTTTTTGTCTCATTCAAGGGAGGTTTTATTTTTCTGCAAGTTCTCCCAGTGACATTTTCGTAACTTCATGAGTACAACGTGTGTTCCACAGTGTCTTCAGATTCAGACTCTCTTATACGGACCACAGGACAAGAGGACACTTGCCACCCAGCAGACCGTGGACATTCTTTCCAAGTGAGTTGGCCTTTCCTCACAATAGTCCTCTGAGTGTGTCATTCTTGTGCTATTCATAATCTCAAAGGAAGCTGGTTCTAGAAGTTCTTGAGGTGACCCATGGAAAGTCTCACTAACTGGCTCTTAATAACCCATCAACTGTGCAAGGCCAGTTCCCTTTGAAGAGCTAGTTGTGGATATAGTCTGCCCACATTTTTAAGAAAAAAACGAGTTCTTGAATAATGTCACCAACCCACGCTAGATTACGTCCTCCCATAGACCAGCCCTCTGTAAGTAACTGCACCAGCCAGAGGGAGCTGACACAAAGCACGTAGCTGCCTGTGGGAGCCCTGCTCTGAACTGCCCCCAGCTTTTGAGGGCCAGCTCCCCACACCTCCCAATGCCTTTGTCAGTCACAACCCATAGCTGACGGCAAAATCCATGCCTAGCAAAGCCCTCCGCTAACTTCAGGACACAGTGTGGGCACAGCCAGCAAGAGTTCCTGTCTCCACTGGCTCAGGGTTGAGAACATCAGCTTCCACTGCCAGCACCACCCACGAATCACTGTCAGATTAACTCCATTAACTTCAAATCACAGTCACTCTGTGTGTGTCAGAGTAGAGTTGTGCTCTGTATGGTCTTTGGAGGCTGGCTGCTGTTACAAACGTAGATTGATTGCCTTTCTTCTGAGTGGACCCAAATCTCTGACCTCTCCACTAGCGGCCAAGCTTGTTTACCATGTACACAACTCGGGAATCCTAGTCCCTCTTAAGCAGGAAAACTGAGCCAAGGAGGCCACCGACCCAACCTCTTCAGGTCATTTTGCTCATGTTCTGCTCACTGACCCAGCTAAGCGTTATTTCAGTGTAAGGTCACAAGGAAGGAGAAAGCAAGAGGGAAAGTCCTGTTATTTTATTTCTGTGGCTTGGTTCTCCTTTCATTCCCATTCTCTCCTGAGATGCCATCATTAGATGCAGCTCTGTGGATGCTACGGAAGCCTCTGCAGGAGCACAGGCTGTGGGGGAGGCCATGTACATCTGAGGGGCCCTCACTTACCACCACCTTCTGCTCGCTTGCAGGGCCCTGGGGATCCCTGGGAAGTCAAGGCAGCCTCAGAAAGCTAAGCCGGCATTCTGCCCCGCTGTCCCTCAGCACCCTGTGCCCGCAAAGGCAAGAACCACCACAGCTGTCAGAGATGTCGTCAAAGAACACCTTGGTCAGGCCTGAGTGCTACATTAAGTCTTAAATGGAAAGATGGAATTCAACGGGGAGTGGACAGATTTCCAGGACTCCAACGTGCGGTAGCAATACCACAAACCTCCCCCCAGGTCCCATCTGACTACAGGGAAGCTGCTGTTTCTACGAAACATTTTTCTGTGTACCACCTGAGTGGGTTTTCTTGCCAACAGAAGTTTTTACCCATCAGCACTGCTGAAAAGCGCCCTTTCTAAAATGCAAAACTGCCTGCAGAGAAACACAGGAGCGCAGTAGACTGATTGCACGTTAGCACCTGACAGGCCCCGAGCAAGTCTCTTTTACACGCAGGGAAGAGGGACTGAGAAAAGAACGCCTGAGGTTGATGATGTCCTATGTGTGTTTAGGTCTGTGTGTTTAAAGTGAAGCCCACCTCAGTTTTCACAGGGGTCTGAAGGGGGGGGGGGCAAGAGGCATCCGTCCTTCACATCTTCATCACTCATCAGATTGATTGAGCACCCAGAGTTGGTACCAGGCCCATAAGAACTGGAAGACAAACATTCAACAAGACCCAGTCCCTTTCCTCTGCTCCTACAATTGATGTGGATGCTGCAGATGCAACATATCACAAGGGCATGAACCCGTCCCGTCCGTGGCCATGGCAGCAGCTGCACCACAGCAAGTGATGGACTTGACTTTGCCCCGGGGCCAGGGGAGGGCAAGGCAAGCTGAGGGGATGCAG